CTATTTTTGTGTAGGGGTGCAATGACTAAGACGGAGCAAGAAGAGAGCTTCTATGTTATTGGTAATCTAATCTAGGAGGTGGTTCATTCACTTTGTTCATTCACCAAGATATACACACAGATTATTGCATTTCTTTTGTACATATGCCCTCCCTTAAAATTTTTTCACACCCATCAATTCAGAAAATGTTTAAAATTGTATTTTAGAAATTTTTTTGTGGGTGCAGGGAAAGTGTTGCTCATATATTGAGGGTAGACATGTAAGTTGTAACATCTATTTAGAGAAGCAAATTGAGAGAATCTACTACTAAGATTTAAAATGTGCATACTCTATCCAGCACATTATCACTTGTTAGTATCTCCACTTTTGAGAACACTTGGATATAGGTACAAAAACAGCACATATAATTATATTGAAGGCAGCGACACTTCCAATAAAAAAAATAAAAGAAACAAACTACCTGTCTAAGGGTAGAAGAATAATAAATTATATCTATTGGTGAAAATTAGGGTCAAGATGGTGGAGTAGGTAGATGCTGTGTTTGCTTTCTCTGATGACCACATCAAAATTGCAACTAAACTATAGAACAACCATCATTGAGAGTCACCTGAAGTCTAACTGAACCAAAGTCCTACAACTAAGGATATAAAGAAGAAGCCACCTGGAGACTGGTAGGAAGGCAGAGACGTGGAACAGGCTGGTGTGTGTGTGACTGTTGTGTGTGACCATGCCAGAGTGTGACTGCTAAAAATTGTGATGGATAGCTGGGCTGTGGAGCTCCCCTTCCCCTGGAGGAGCAAGGGGTCCCAGCCCCACATCAGGCTCCCTAGCCCAGAGTTCCAGTGCTAGGGAGAGAAGCCCCCATAACTTCTGGCTGTGAATACCAGCAGAGATTGTGACTGGATGAGGCAGAGGGTGGCTAGAGTTCCAGGCATTCCTATTAAAGGGCCTGTGCATGGACTTCCTTGTTGACAGATTCATTTGCTCTGAGCTCCAGTGTTGGGGCAGCAGCTCAAGAGTGCCAGGGACATATGTGGAGGAAATGAGTTGTCTGCATTCAGAGAGAGGGCTACAGGGGCAGCATTCTCCCAGAAAGAAGTGCTGGAATAATTCATTGTTTCTTTGTCAAGCCTTCCCCTCCCCTGGCATGCAGACACAGGTGATCACCATATCTGAGCCTCGATCAACCTGGTCAAACATTCATCTGCCCTGCCCTGGTGATTCTGTGAGATACTGCCCCAAACAACTTGTGGGCCCACCCCAGCCTCTTCTAGTGCTTTTTACACATAAATAGCCTGTCTTGGCTCATGCTTCAGACTGTCCTAAAATCTCTCAAAGGTTCACAAAACCCAAACAAACAACATCTGGCTTTGGCATGTCCCATACCTCTTGTTGAGCAGCCCCACGTCTGGCACTAGCATCAGCAAATCTCAGTTTGCAGCTTGACCTCTCAAAGTACCTCCAAGCTGAGACAGGTGGTGGCAATCTATGGATTGCTTTGTGTCTCATGACAGGTTGCCCCAAGCAAGGCACAGGCTGTGGCTGAACTTGGCCTGTGATGGGGCCCCTCCCAAGAGGCTCCAGGGCTGGCATAGCAGTGGCCAGCTTCAGAGAGAGCCAGATCATCACCTAGCCCCTTCCAAGGATGACACTTCCAAAGGGAAGACTGGGCAGGCACCAGAGTCCTGCTAAAGTGAATTATGCTCCTTAGGGTCAGCCCCTGCACAACAGCTCCTCCACTGTAGTCATGGCCAGTCCTCACAACAAATCAACCTGAGGGTCAATCACGCCCATTGGCATGCAACCAGCAACAAAGACTCAACTACAACAGGAGGCACACACAACCCACATAAGGGACACACCTGGAACACTCGTCTAAGGTGACCAGGGAGACTGCACCACTGAGCCCCACAGGACACCTACTACATTAGGCTTCTCTACTATGACTGGGAGACATAGAAGCTCTACCTAATACATAGAAACAAACATAGGGAGGCTGCCAAAATGGGGAGAAAAAAAACATGTCCCAAATAAAAGAATAGAATAAAACTCCAGAAAAAGAACTAAACAAAATGGAAACAAGGAATCTACCAGATGCAGAGTACAAAACACTGGTTATAAGGACACTCAATGATCTCAGGGAGAACTTCATAAAAGAGACAGGAAACATAAAAATAGATATAGAAAACAAAAAAAAGAACCAGTCAGAAATAGAGAATGCAATGACTGAAATGAAAAACACATTAGAGGGAATCAATAGTAGATTAGATGAAGCAGAGGACTGAATCAGTGATTTATAAGTTAAGGTAGCAGAAAATACCCAATCAGAACAGCAAAAAGAAGAAAGAATCCTCCCCCCCAAAAAATGAGGATAGTTTAAGGGGCCTCTGGGACAACATCAAGCATAACAACATTTGCATCTTGGAGTACCAGAAAGAGAAGAGAGAGAGCAAGGAATTGAAAACCTATTTGAAAAAATGACAGAAAATTTCCCTAACCTTGTGAAGCAACTAGACATATAAGCCCAGGAAGTGTACAGAGTCTTAAACAAGATGAGTCCAAAGAGGCCTACACCAAGATATATCATAATTAAAATGCCAGAGGTTAAAGACAAAGAAAGAACCTTGAAAGCAGAAATAGAAAAGCTGTTAGTTATCTATGAGGGAGCGCCCATAAGACTGTCAGGTGATTTCTCAACAGAAACTTTGCAGGACAGAAGGGATTGGCATAAAATAGTCAAAGTGATGAAAAGCAAGGACCTACAACCAAGATTACTTTACCCAGCAAAGCTATTATTTAGAATCAAAGGACAGATAAAGAGCTTCCTAGACAAGAAAAAGCTAAGAGAATTCATTACCATCGAATGCATATTACAAGAAATGTTAGAGACTGTTTTAAGGTGAAAAGAAAAGATAAAAAATGTGAATAAGAAAATGGCAATAACTACATATCTATCAACAATTATTTTAAATGTTAATGGATTAAGTGGTCCAATCAAAAGACACAGTGGCTGAGTGGATAAGAAAAGACGACCCCTTACATAAGCTGCCTTGATGGGACGTTTGCATTCATATATTCATTGCTGCATTGTTTACAATGGCCAAGATGTGGAGGCAGCCTGAATGTCCATCAATGGATGAATAGATAAAGAAGAGGTGGCATCTATGTATAATGGAATATTGTTCAGCCATGGAAAGGAATGGGGTCTTGCCATCTGTGGCAGCATCAATGGATCTGGAGGATATTATGCTGAGTGGAGTATGTCAGACAGAGAAAGACAGATGCAATGTGATTTCACTTATATTTGGAATCTAAAGAAGAAAACAAATAAACAAAACAGAAACAAACTCATAGATAGAATATTTTTATGGTTGCCAGATGGGAGGGGGCATGGGATGGGTGAAAAAGGAAAGGGATTAAGAAGAATAAATTCGCTGTTATAAAGTAGTCATGGGAATATAGGGTATAGCATATGTAATATAGTCAATAATATTGTAATAACTATGGATGGTGTCAGATGGGTACTAGATTTATTGAGGTGATAGATAGGAGGAGGTTGGGGACAGGGTAAAAAAGGCAAAGGTGTTAAGATGTACAAATTGGTAGCTACAAAAGAGTAATTAAAGCATAGGGAATGTAGTTAATAATATGGTAATAACTATATATAATGTCAGGTGGGTACTAGTCAGGGGGTCACTTCTTAAATTATATAAATGTCTAGCCACTATGCTGTATGCCTGAAATTAATATAAAATAATACTGGATATCAACTGTAATTGAAAAATTTAAAGGAGGGGTAAGGTGAAAGGGAATGAGGTCCAAATTTCCAGATATAAAACAAATAAGTCAGGGGGATATAACGTACCACATGGGGAATATAGTCAATAATACATATTGTGATAGCATAGTGCAGTGTCAGATGGTTATTGGACTTACCATAGTGATCACTTCTTCAGGAATAGAAATGTTGAATAACTATGACATACACATGAAACTAATATAATATTGTATGTTAGCTATATTTTAATAAAAGTTTTTTAAAAATCAAATTACATTTAAAAAAAGTGTATCTATTGGTTCTGAGGACTATCATGCAGTATTTTAAAAGAATGATGTAAATTTGTATACAGATATACAAAGACCTCAATTATATAAGTTGATTGGAAAAAAGTAACATCTTAAACATACGTAAATGCATAGGAACTAGGAGTCATCTTATAGGGACTGGGTATGCAATTAGTGCCTGAGCAGAATTTTAGCCTAATTTGTAATATTTCAATTTATGGTTACGTGTAATTTAAAATTAATAACAGCAGTTAGAATGTCTGGAAGAATATCCAAGAAGCCAGCAACACTGGCTGCCTCCAAAAGCTGGACTGAGTGTCTGAGGAGCTGGAAACAGACTTTTCCGTGTATAACCCTCTATTTCTTTAAGATGCCCAATCTCATGGGAAAACATACACAAATGTAATTAAATGTGACTACTATGAAGACTGAGGTGTCAGTTATTACAGTAGCCAAGAGAAAGTGTCTTCTAAAAAGGTCTGAGGAACTCGAGAAGAATTCGCAGCGCAGGTGGCACTGGAACAGAGAAATGGAATGTCCTACTTTTTAATTCTCGGAGAATTTTGTGTGGGGTGCCCAGGGCCCCTGAAAGCCGGTTCCATGATTACTTTCCACGAGCTGGAGCCTAAATCCCCACCAAGAGACTAGAAGCAGGCGGGTGAAGCAGAATCGGCGGCTAGATGGAAGCGGACCCTTAATAAAACGGTGTGGTACATACTCAATCAAGGCTAACACCAGCTCAGCCCTTTCAGAATCAGTTCCAGGGTCCCACCCTCTCCTCCAGGCCGGCCAGCCTGCCCTCTCCTGCCTTCCCGCTTCGCTTACTGGGCAGTAGATGATTGACAGATCCACTCACCAATCGCTGCATCTGCTACAGGAGCACTTAGGCCCCAGCCGGGTATTTAGTACCTAGGGCGAGATGCGGTCTCTGTGCGTCTACGTCAGCGTGCTGACGTCACGAGCCGGGTACTCAAGGCGGGTCAGGTCAGCTGGCTGCAGGCGGTGGGCTGCGCGTACCCTGCCGGGCTCGAGCCCAGGCCCCGCCCTGCTGAGCCAGCCCCTCCGCTCGCGAGGGCCCCCCCGGGGGTGACCACGGAGCCGCGGTCCCCGCGCTAGACTGGGGCGGCCTGCCCGGAACTACTCGATGAGGTAGGCTGGGTTTTTCATCACCCTGTTTGACAGATTTGAAAAACGAGTCACCTCGGGTCAGATGACTTGCACGGGTCTCACGAGAGACCGGCTAACGTTGGCCAGAGCCTGAGCATCTGGTTCTGTTTGCTGAGCCCTGCGCCATCCTGCGGAGAGGAGGAGGAGGAGGAGGGGCTAGGCTGACTGTTTTAAAAGATACAGAAGTGTAGTTGCACAATGCTTAGCCCCTTTTCATCCAGGGCTTGGACCGGTATTCAGGGGATGCTTGTGGGAGTGAAGTCTGTGTTCTTGCACGCTTCAGACCCGGAGGAGTCCTCGTTGGGGTCCAGCCTCATTCTGACGCCCTGGGCCGTACAGAGTGACCAAGAATGGTGACTCGGGTGATGCATGGGTTATACGGTCAAGTATAAACGGCCTCTTTTATTTATCAAGAAAATCTGTTTAAAAAAAAACAATTAAGAAATTAAAACACAAGTCATGAAGGTTCTGGCTATGGTTTCACTTCACTGGTTTGCCCACTCCTGGGCATCTGGCTGCATTTTGAAATCTCAGCGTGCTTGCTTTTGGTTTAGGATTAGACAGGGATTTTTTTTTTTCTCTTTTAGTTCAAACATGGGTTAACATTGTGGAACTTTTCTTACCATTCCCTTATTCATCATGTCATTTGTCTTCTATTTCACAGACGGAATCGCTGAATTCATCACTTGACTCAGTAATAGTTTGGATAAGTTTAGTAAGGTAACAAAGTAACAGATCTAACCTCTCAAATATACCAGAATTAGTTTAGTTTATCTCAGAATTCTTGTTGAGAAGGGTTCTGAAAGATAATTCCCATCTATATACCGTCTACCCACACACCCCTTTTTCTAGAAACAGGATTTCACAAAACAAAACTTATGGAACTATTGCTTTATTTATGGATTCTAATAAGGTAGGGCATAATTCATGCTCATAAAGTGAAAATGTGTACTATATAATATATATGTGCATATATACTTTGTATTATGAAGAATTCATTCTCTTTAAATCTTGCTGTCTCAAACATTGACCTTTTAAGAGTGTATTATTGCATAAAACTGCATTAAAGAAATGAAACTGAAACTGCTTCCGGGGACTTTTCCTAACTTATGTTCCTAGAAGGAGGCTAATTGTTATTTGAATTTATTCTTTGGACAAGTTTATCTGATGTGTGCCTTATCTGTGCCACACTTTGTTTTTGGTGTTGGGGACTGAGTGCTGAAAAATTTAGCTAAGGTCTCTGCACTCAAAGACCTTACATTTTGGTGGAGATACATTAAACATGTAAAGAAAAATGACAATTTTAGATAATGATAAATGCTAGAAAAAAATATAATAGGGCAAGAGGCTAGAGTATGACTGGGGTGTGTGGAGAAATTTAGATATGGCATTCAGGGAAGAGTTCCTTGAGGAAGTGACAGTTTGGGTGAGACCTGAATGTTTGGAATGAGTCAGCCATAGGAAGATAGATCTGCTGGAAGTTTCCAGACAGTAATTTAACAGTATAAAAGAGCTAAAGTAGTAACGAGCTTGGCATGTTTCAGGGATAGAAGAGAAGCTGTGTGGCTGGAATAGAGTGATCCTAGTGGAGACTGAGATGGGTTGACAGTGGTAAGAGATGACACCAAGAGGTGGGCAGGAGCGGGGTTCTCTGAACCCCAGGCAGAATTGCAGGCACACAAAGGAAATAGGATTTATGTACTGCCAAAGTCCTCTTTGTTTCCTTCAGTGACCCTCATAGACTCTAACCAGCCCTCTGCTTTATTTTGATTGCTATATCAAATTATTGAAATCATTGCAATAATTTTTTTTCACCAGTGGTCCTCTTTCATAATAATAAAAAAAATGTCTTCTTCCTTTAAGCACTGTGTCCCATGATGTTTCTTTCTTGTTCATTGTTATTATATGCAGGATCCAAAACTCTATCTTCAGCTTTCTGCTTTTATCATCCTATTTCCAACCTTGAGTCCTCTCCAGTATTATCTTTATGTGGTCACCCTTTGGGAAAGACCCGCAGTCCATCCCTGGTCTTCCCCAAGCCGAGTTCTAGGAAACTGCATTGTCAAGTGGATTACCATTTTCCATTGGGACTTTTATTACCGACCAGAGACTTAATCTCTGCCTTTGTTTGGAGCTTACAATGTGCCAGGTGCATTACATACAATCTGATCCTTCCAACATGTTGCAAAGGGAAATATTATCCCTTCTTGATGGAATAATATTGCACTGAAAGCCACCTAGCTGTACTGAGGGAACCTAGGTTTGAACTCCAATTAGCCTGCCCCCAAAACCCTAATCCATGGTACTCCACTGCTTCTTTGAGTATGCAACAGCAGCTACAAACCTCTATTATTTCAAATTATGTTTTATGAAATGGCATTGTAGAGATCATGATTCAGTCCTCTCAGTTTAAGTCTGGGGCTGTGGAGGTCCATAGATGTTCAGTGATTTTCAAGACATAACGGACACCAAATTCTCCCCCTGCTGGTTCTCAGCCTAGTGTTTTTTCTGCTATACTTCATGAAAGTTTCATCACTGGGGTTTCTATATATGTATATAAAAATATAGTATTCAACATCATGAATTTACTTTCCACAAACTCATACAAGGTAATTTTAAAAAGATGAAACAGTGCTGCTTTGGGGGCTAAAATAATCCTCTGTTTTCTTTTCCTTCCGTCTTCTCAGCAGTAAGCAGGTATACACTTTCTGGATGAATCTTTGGCTTCCATTAGTAGAAAGTGGTTTGTAAATAACATTAAAATCTAAGTTTTAGTTTTGCAAATCTTTGAAAGGGAGTTTAAAGTTGTTACTGTTTTCCCAGCTTTAATCTTATGCACACAAGCATGGGAATATTGCCAGTGTTTGCTGGCTCATAGCTTCTGTTAGCAAGTGCAGTTAGGATTGAGGAAGCCCTGGGTCAGCTCGGGATAGAACTTCTCTTTCTTAGCAGTGTATTATAATTTAAAAAAATAAGTAAAAATCAGTTTATAAATTATATGGTTGAAAATGGGTTACTATGCTCCTACAATTTAAAAATACCCATTTATTTTTATTAATCATAATTGGGATATGATAGATGAATAATAGTAAATGAACATATAGCTTAATTTACATTCTGGTAGCTTTTGACTCTCCTATAACTTAATGGAGATTGTCTTTTTCATTAGTCAAATTAGAATAATGTTAATGAAATTAGCACAGTCTTTCTTAAATGTTTAAAGGTGTTTAACTTTAGGCAGAAGAGAGCTTTTGTTCTTCAAGCCATCTACTGAACCTTTTGACCAAGTATCTCTGTCATTTAAGACTGTACATGCGACTGAATCCGGGGTCTGAAGATCCAGGCTGTTGTGATTTGGCCTCAGATTTTTGTGCCCTCCTTTCCCCATGAACCCTGTGCCCCAGACTGGACTCCTGGGCTTTCCAACTTCAGTGCCTTTGCTTGTGCTCTTCCTACAGCCTGAAATGCCTTCTACATGGATAAATGTGGCCAAAGTTCTGCTGTCCCTCTGCATCCATCTGTGCTGATTTCTCGCGATAGTTCCTGTGCCTCTTTAATGGAAGCCTTCCCTTTCACAGCACTTTGGGAATCTTTCACTTAGGATGCAGTTTACCAATCTTGATATCTTTGGTAATTCACTATTTTATACGTGAGTATTCAAATCAATTTTGGCTTGAGCTTAAACAAGACCCAAGAATTTATGTTATACATGCAACATTTTTTGTAGATTGTATAGCCCTTTAGTTTTATTTACGCTTTTATTAAGTCATCTTTGAGAGAAGCACTGGCATACTTTTCTTGGCTTTGATTCAACAGAACTCTTTCCTGTTTCAGTTAAGAGTCAGTCTGACTTTACAGTTACAAGGGATCCCTTGAGAGTCCTCTGTGTTTATGGTGTTAGGAAAAAGTAACAGTAATTCCACTTTTTAATATTAAACATGAGAAAACCTTGGCCCAGGTTGACTAGCCAGGGGGCCCTGCAGTGCTGGGCTAAGAACCTGGTCAGTACTCCTGGTTCATGGCCGCAGAAGCTTGTGCAGGCTGTCGGGGTTCCGATGTCCTACAGCAGAACTCCTGACAGCCTCTGACAAGTGGATCGGCATAGCTCAGGCATTTCTGGACTGTTTTGCTTGCTTTTCTTGTGAGTAGATCTGGATCTGGAAGAAACCTCTTGTGGTAACCCAAGGTCAAAGCAGGGATCCTTGACAGAGCTCTTAGGGCCTGCAGGACCCTCCTGGGCAGGCATTGAGGTAGTATCAGCTTTGGTAAGCTCTTGGGTTTAAAACCCTTCTCTTCTGCTTCCCCTGTTGTCACAGTTTTCCAAAACCTATTTTGGGACTGGTGGGCAATCTTAGTATATTAAACTTGGGGGTTTGGAGGAATTTGGCTTAGTACCTGATAAGTTGTGGTGATCACGGGTTTCCATGTCCCATAGTTTCCAGAACAGCACACTTTTCAAATATCATGCATTATTGTTTGCAAAAGTATATTCTTGTTTGCGTTTTGCTTCAGGAGAATATATCTATATCTATGTATATATATCCCCATATATATATACATTTTTTTTTAATTAACCACTTGCTTGTCGAATTAATAATGTGGAACTAGGGAGTTTTAAGTACATTTTCCTATTTGCATGGTAGTTAAATTCATCAAAGGTAACAGCAAAAGGAGCTCTTGAGCTACTAGATGTTTCTCTAGCTGAGGTGGAAACACCAGCCAGGCCTTGCCTTAGGCCTTACTGATGGTAACTAACACTCACAGAGGGCTTCCTTTGTGCCAGGTGCCGTTCTAAATGCTCTGTGTCCAGGTTGCTCATCTTTAGCACTAGATACTTCTTTGTTGTAGGGACCTGTCCTATGCATTGTAGGGTGTTTAGCAGCATCCCTGGGCTCTACCCATAGAAGCTAGTGGCACCTCCCTGATTGTGACAACCAAAAATGTCTCCCCTGTCCCCAACACCTCGAGAACCACTGCTTCCTAGAAACTATTCCTCACAACGACCCTGTGAAGTAAGTTGGATTTTGATTATCCTCATTTTGCAGAAGGAGAAGCTGAAGCACAGGGAAGTTAAGTAACTTGTCTAAGGTCGCACAGCTAGTCAGCAGGAGTACTGGATGTGAAACCAGGCAGTGCTCTTCGTGATCCCAGGCCTAACGCACCCAGCGCAGATGGGCACTAACGGTTGGATCCAATGCCCCATGTAAACCAGCAGACAACAGATGTCAACAGGGTCCAGGCAGGCTGTAAGAAAGTGGCAAACGGTGAACTGGGGAGTATTGCCAGAATTGCCTGTTTTTCAAAAGGCTAGAAATCTGGATTTTATTTATGTGAGAAACTCATCCTTTAATATTGGTAAATAGTTCAATGTTTAAAAAACATATTTTAAGCGAACAAACACTGTCACCTGTATATGGGGAACATTTGGTCCCACGTGTAGACTTTGCATCGTGTGACATTCCAGAGACGTGTACATTCATTTGATGGGGGAAATGAAGTAGATTCTGGGTGGAGGGTAGAGTTCCCCTTATTTGAAGGCTCTGGAAATGAGGATGGGTAGAGTGGAGCTTCTAGACTAGAAGTGGTTGTCTTGCTTTCTTTTAAGCCAAGAGTGTGGCAATTAAAGATGGTCATCCATCACACTTTGAACTTCAGTGCTCTGCTGCTCAATGCAGACTCAGTTTGAAAGTTTTGTACTTGTACGTCCTTCGGCAGCATCATTTGTAATTATTTCTCCCATGATCTCTCCTTGTCCAGGTGTTAAAATAACATTTTACAGGGCATTGAGAAAACATAAATTCTGGAATCCAATGGCTGCATCCTGGAGAAACAAACCACAACCATACCTTACTTTGTTGAGAGCCGGTGACCAGTTGAGTGTGGGTTTAACTTTTTTGAACTGCTCAGGCTCTATGCCTGTGTTTCAGTAGCAGACAGACTCCTGCTGGCCTTTGGGGGTTTTTCCTGTCCTCAGAACCCTGACCCCTTTAGTTGAGCCTGTGCGCCATCATGTCCCCGCTCTTGGTGTGAAAAGCGCGTTCACGCTCCTATGGTCCTTGTCATCTGCCCGCACACTTCCTTCCGGCTGCACCTCTCGGGACTCCCTCCTGGCGGCCTCTCCCAGACTGCCGGTGGCTCACTGCTCTGATCTAGGACAAGCTCCTGCTCCTCTTTGTCCAGTTTACCGTAGTCTACCTCTTCCTCTCAGTATATTTATTACTTTTCATTTCTTTCAAAGTCATACATTTTCTCTTAGGCCAGCTTTTTCATGTGACTTTTCTAGTCACAAGACCCTAAAGTTCAGTCTTTTGTATTATAATTATCTTGGGCTTTGATTTCTAATTATCTATAAAACCATTTACCTCTTTCATAAAACTGTATTCTACTTGAGAATAGGGACAATGTCTTTCCGTCTTACTTTTCCCCATAGCTGCTAACATAATGTTTTACTTGTGATAGAAATGTAATGCACATCGGCCCATTCATTTGGGTCGTGTAGGTTTCACGCATATAGAGGTTTCTTTCTTCTCCCCCCCATATATTTGTATCAGTTTATATAATGTGGTGTTGGAGTGACTCCACTGAATAGCATTCAGAATATATTGGGGAAAATATATTATTAATTTGGGGAGGTTGCGTCATTTTTATTAATTCCATTGGTAATTATAGTAATTGGAGATTAAATATTCTTGGTTTACTTAATGTAATATATTGAAACTCCAGATATGTGTATAAAATTGCTTCACTTTAGTTAGCAAGTACCTAGACTACATAAGTTTATACAATATACCTATGTAATTCATGAATTTTACAAACAAATCTAATGCCTAACAAACACATGGCCAGGCATTTTCCTAGGGGCTATTGATATAGAAGTGTCTTCTAGGAACTTTTGGTATACAGCTGAGAAAAAGACATGTAAACAATATGTGAAATATATATGAAAGATTAGAGGTGCTTTTTAAAGAGAGATGGATGGCTTACATATTAATTATACCAGTGGGGTCAGAGAAGGTTTCATTGAAGAAGTAATATTTAAGCCTCCTTGAACAATGAATATGCTGATTATTGCTGTTAATTTTTTGGTGGTTGGAGGAAAAGGCACTGTGGGCAGACAAAGTATTAGGACAAAGGCATAGATGGTGAAACTCCCTTCTGTACAAGGGAACTAGAAATAGGTTCATATGGTTAGAGCACTGGGTGTGCAGGAAATAGAGGTTTTAGTAGAGGAATGAAATTATTCATTCACGTTCTCAGTTTAGAAAAACTAGCATGATCCCAGTATGCAGAATATTTTGGAGATGAATGAGACTGAATTAGTGGAGTAATGTGCATGAATGATGATTGGGAAAACTGTGGAAAAGACTAATTAGAGCTATTAGGGGGAATGACACAGTCACTGGTTTGGAGTGTTTGGAAGATGGAACCAGCAGCAGAACCAAATTTAATACATTGTCTTAATGATAAAAATGGTAAATAAGATATTACTGGTTATTATTGGTTAATTTTTCTTACCTTAAACATTTTTTTTAAGATTTTATTGGAGAATTGGGGGATGGGAACAGCGCTGGGGAATCGGGGAAGGGGAACAGACAAGTTGCTATCCTTTTGTTCTTCAGTCTAGTTGTGGAGGACGTCGCTTTACTGGCCCATGTTGGTATTATCATTGCGCTCTTCCCGGGTGAGGCAGTCGCTTGCCGGCAATTGGACAGCTGCTCACGGCTGTTCATAGCAGCTCACGGAAGCTCACGCTAGCTGCTGGCCAGCCCCACTGCAGCCTACACCGTCGCCGGTGACTCATGGCAGCCCAGCTCCAGGTCAATCTGTTGTTCACCATCTTAGCTGTAGAGGGCTCAGCGTCACTGGCCCTCATGTGGGATCTGAACCAGGGCCCTGCTGCTCAGAGCTGGAGTCCCAAGCCAACTCTTAACCAACGCGCCACTCGGCTGGCCCATCTTTTTTTTTTTTTTTTAAGCTGTGCCATCCTGCCACCTGTTGGCAGCTAGGCAGCAGCTCAGCTCGGGCCAGGCATAGAGCTGCTGTTGCTCAGAGCTCAAACTCTTGAGCAAGCTCTTAACCAACTGAGCCACTCGGCCAGCCCCCTTGGCCGGCCCATCTTAAACATTTTTGAAGTATTTACAGGTAGTATGTATATTATACATCAATATCTGTATTTTAAGTTATTCTTATCATTTCTTTATTTTGTAATTCCTTATCTCTTGTTAAATAATTAGAGCAAATTTTTTGAGAATGGAGCTAGTTTCAAACCTTTATTGAGAACCTTGTGAGTTTAAAGAAATCCTACTACTTTTGTGATATCCTTTGCCTGTAGCATGTGCTCCAAGCCTATTCTCATTTTCAGGCTATAATTCATAATCTGTTTTCTGGGTACATTAGCCTGTAGTTGGCATTGAATCTTACAATGAGTAGTCTTTGTCTATGTGACTGTTTCCGGAAGCACAAGCTAGGTTGATCAAGTCCTCTGATGCTGATTGCTGAGGGTCTGGTTTCCTGTATGACTGCCTAAGAAGTTTGAAAAAAAGAAATGAAAAAAAGAAAAGGAACCTAGGCGTCAGGGTTTTGAGATTAAATTTTCTTATCTGTCACATGCACCAAGCTTTGGACCTCAAACCTTCATTCATGGTAGAG